TGACATGGTAGAGCATTTGATAGACCCTTCAATGTATATTTGTCTGTAAGAATTTTGATAAAGTTCAAAAATCCAGCATACGTAGGGAAGACCGAATGGAAAAAGTTTTAGACCTGAAATGTGAATTTGAAGAATTTCGCTCTCAGAAAGTAAACTGTGGGTGTATATATATATATATATATATATATATATATATATATATATATATATATATATATATATATATATATAAGGATAATGCTCACAGCTTTTCTAGCTGTTTCTTCATCATGCGAGAAGCTTTCTAATAAATCATCTAGTTTGTGATATATCGTTATAACAAGAAATATAGCCAAATAAAACTTTAGAGGAATCACTTGCTTCACTTAATCTTGCTCTTTTTTTGTTGTGTTTATTTTGCTTTGAGCATTTTAATGGAGATCCCAGTGTGAGATCTACTCACCATGCCTTCACTAACTCAAACAAAAATGTGATACGCATTAGTATATTTTTACATGATTTAAATTATAAGTTCAATTCCTCTACAAGCATATGGTACTATGATCACTACATAACACTTTAACACAAATTTCTCACGTATGCTGGAACAGAATTATCACTTTATATTTTAATGTATATTTCACGGAGCTCTATTTACACCAACTTGCTACATGGCTGTCGACCTTGACCTTTTATTCTCGGTAGTGACTTGAAACAAAGTAAAGAATCTGAGTGTGAAACAATAATCAACCCAATGCTGATTCACCAATAGTTTTGGTGTTCAAAAGTAGTCAACTGTCAAATCTTTTTTTCAGTTCTATTGATCAATAATTCAACATTTATATCTCAAAATTTTAGTTTTTAACTGAAGTTCAACATAAAATCAATGAAAAAAAGTCTATTAACGGTAAACTGATTATTTCAGGCAAAGCCGTCAATAATATTCAGAAAAGCATTTTACTCCTAGTGACCATTCATTTGACTACTAGCTGACTGCTAGTCGACAACTAGCTAACGATGAAATAGACATTTCATGTGGGTTAAGCTCAGATTTATACCACTAAAAACCAAAATGACTCGTTATCTTTGTGAAGACATTAAAGTTAGAACTATTTTGTTTTTTGTTTTTTTTTTTAATATAAATTCATATCTTTGAATAAACCATACGAAACATGATTAGTATAAACAGTTTTCCGAAAGAGATAATAAATCCAACATTGAATGAGTTTGTTTGAGAACTTCTCGATTAGATTCATGATTATTGGTGAGTTCCTTTTGACCCATTCCTACGTTGTGTGGTACCCATCTCTAGTTATGGATGACCATCCATCAATGGGGGGAGGGGAACAAGGTTACAATTTATCTCTCTCCGTCATGATCAAGAAAAACTGGTTCTTCCTCTGGAATTAAATTGCTGTTTGGTTTTAGATCAATGTTCTGCCTGCACTAGAAAGTTATTATGTTAAGTTTGGTGCAAGACAGACTTTCTACACGTGGTCAATTTGGGTGAAATTGTGAGAAAATAACAAAATGTCCCCAGAAATTGTATTAGTCATCATCGATAAAGTCTGTTTATATGGATGCCTGCTGGGGATCAGTAAACCATCTTGTGTAATTACGTTTGCTTAACATGACCTTCTTCGTCTCAGTCGAGCTTCAAGTGTACTCCGATATCAAGAAAACAGGCAATCTAATTAACAACAAAGATATTCAAACGTTTTTAGTCGCAGCTGTAAGGTTTTTTAGTGGAAGGTTGCCTAGAAACATCCTGAAATATAGAAATGAAACAAAGAAGCACTAGCTAAGTCCTACACATATATATAGCGTCATCATAAACTGGGAATTTGATTTGTCGTTTTTTCTTCAGTTTTCAATGTTCTTTATACCAAATGAATTCTTAAAAAATGAAAATATAATCATAATGTAATATTTTTGCTTTACATGAAAATGTTATTGTCATGAATAAAACAGAGAAAAGAATTTTGTTTATCTGATAATTCCTAACCATGGTAACTGATTAGTGCCATAATCTTGGATCCCAATTAGTGTCCTTAATTATGGCACTTATCTGATGCCCTAAATTTATTAAGTGTCTTGACATCTAACGATGGTGCAGCGGTCCTAATACTTGAAGCCTAATTCCCTAACAGGTGCCCTAACGATGGAGCCTAATGCCCTAAGACGGTGCCGTAATAATGGAGCCTAACGCCCTAACAAGGTGTCCTAAATGATGTCAGGTGTCAGACAGGGTATATAAGAAGAGAAATAGCGAGCAGATATACATGGATTGTAAACTGCATTTGAATATTACTAATATGCTTGTTAAAACAAACTTTTGCGTTGTTCTTTCATAAGATCAATTAAGATCTAGAGTTCCTAACTCAAGTACAGCATCCACAATATTTTTTGGCGCAGGGACTTTGTGAGTTATCACTCATTTGGGACAGATTCTAAGAGATATAGCCCGGCTAAAACCCGAAAACGTCGCAATAACATTAAAGATCATTTGAAAAGAAAGTGATAACCAAATTTCCCAGCATTGGAATCTTTGACAAAAATGTTAAAAGCGTCATTATAAAACAAAGAGAGTAAATTAAAACTCAGATATTATTATTTTGTTTATTTTCGATTTTGTTGCCAGAATTGCCAATGTGCATCTGTCTTTTACAAGTACGAAAATTGATATCAGTTAATTATTTTATATGGAAAAAAGGCATTAGAATACCTTTTGTTGTAGACCTAGACAAATGGACTTAATTCACAAGTTATAATAAAGAAAGAATATTCATACAAAATTGATGATATTAGATAGGGATGTATATAACCTATTACTGTTTTATTACAAAGAAAGCCACGATGTTGAATCAATACTTCCTATGAAAACATCAATCACAATACTTATTAATGAATCAAATAGTGAAATTCTTTTCAGAACACTCAAAATATCTGTTAAAAACACTTGAACATCAACGCTTTCACGTTCATTCTCAAGGCAAATATTTCAAATGGTTTTTTTCTTAATGGAGATGTGGAATATTGGAGTAATTAGGACTATTGTTAATGAGTTGGCTAATTCATTTGTTGTGTCTTGTGAAGCCAGATGTCACTTATCTCTCGTATTATAATCATTTTGTTTATCGCACCGTCAAAGCAGAAAGGTTTCATTTTCAAGTCTTTTGCAGTTCGAACACATCCTAGAGAAAAAAATAATAAAAATCGAATTAGGCTGATTTCGAGACAAAGTGGATGATAAAATATCAATCCGATAAATAAATAGTTTTCTGTAATTAACCAGCTCATTCCTGTACCTCTAATACACGGCATTGAGATATTGGCTATTGACAGGGGCTTGTTTATTACAGAGGAATACAAGTGAGACAAGGCCATCCGACACACACATTTATTTATATTCTTTTCTTTATATCGCTTATTACATTGTGTTTTAAAAACACGTTTTAGTGAATGTGTTATAATGTGGAAGTCTAAAGTAGAAATAGAAAAGCCTAACAATACCAGTACACTGTAAAAACTGCGTTTAGAAAATAAACACATCCATTACGTGTTTAGACCTAAACATGTTTAAGATTGTGTTTAACGGCTAAACACTTATATCTAAGCATGTATTATATCTAAACGTGTTTAGATTTAAGACGTGTTTAGATTTAAGTGTTTAGAAATTGAACACGTTCTGGAACAAACAGAGTTATCTTCCAGGAAATGACGCGTAATATTTTTGAACGTTAATAGAGCGGTTATCGAAACAAAGAAAATTCCAGTGTAAGCAAAAGAAGATGGATTAAAGGAAGCGAATCATAACCAAAGAGATAACCAGGAAGGGATTGTGAAATGCAGTTGAAAGGCAACAATACTACAAGAAAAGGTCTGTTTACTTTAGTATTTTACATAAATTGACTAGAATGAGAAACGTTGCAATTACACAAATGTATAGATCAAGATTTTCTTCTTTTATTTTTGGATTCCTGAAAGCTAGAAAGGAGTTTAAATTATAGAATGTCATTGAAAATATCTATATCCATATCTGTATCATATATACATAATTGTTAAATGGATTTCAATAAAGGTTGCATAATAGTAGTTAGTTTAGCTATCAGTGAGCAAGGGGCATATTTTTGTATAATTTCATTTCTTTATTACAGGATATGGTCCAGACTGAAACAAAAATACACGTCTCAGAGTAGCTGGTGTCATTTCCAAGTCCACGCAATTGTCGGTACATCTTCAGGATTTCTTGCATTTAAGAGGAAACTGAATTTTGTGAAGTATACTGTTCGGTATATTTTTAAACAACTCTAAAACATTCGTATGATGGGAACGGATTCCTTCCTGGCAGTTATGGACGAAAACATATGATCGTGTGTTTCTAGTGAAAGACTTGCAGGAAAATAATAAGCTTGATTAATTTTTGTTACAGACATGAGGAATAAGTGCATGCTTGCTGAGCTGATTAATATTGACAAGAGCCAAAATAAAATTTTAGTTTTTAATCTGTATGTATTTTGAATTTAAAATTCTTCAAAATAAATCTATGTTTGAAAGTTCAATAATGTTATAGTATTTCTGGAAAACTTATTTAATAATGTTTTTCTTCCAAAAATATGTTTTCCTGTGATAGTTTATAATTTAAACTATTCTGTTGGATCTAATGTTGTGGAACTAAACATGTTTAGCAACTTAACACTTAAATATTGATGTGTTTAGAAATGAGACTTTAGGGCTAAACGAAAAAAAGTGAAACAAAAAATGTGTTTAGGGGTTAAACATGTTTAGCAACTAAACACATGAAGTCTAACGTGTTTAGAAATGAGACACGTTTAGAGCTAAACGTGTAAAAAAAGTGATACAAAAAATGTGTTTAGATTTGTGTTTAGATTCTAAACACTGTTTTTACAGTGTAGCTTGTAGCTTAAAGCTTTCAGACGTAGCAATCCGTTGTCTTCAGGATAAATACGGATGCTGTGAAGGGTTTTACATGTCTATTTCAAAATTTGTTTCTTCTGCAGGTGAACCCAGGTGCTGCAATGGCTGCGGTTATTCTTCTTGATGACTTTCTGTTAATCATCTGTATTTTCTTGAGTCTTCTAGTGAAAGGTAAGAATATAGTTCTACAGAAATAACTAAAGCATAAAAGGAACGAAGAAGTGGACAAAATCTCATAAATCAAGTAAACAAAAGAAATCTTGAAAACAGTAAACTCCAGAAACATCAGACGAGTATGGAATCCGGATAGGGCCATGCAGTTTACTATCGCACCATCGAGCATCGACTTATAGGTCGATGGCGCGATAATGCGATGGCGCGATAACGATGAAGCGATGGTGCGATGACGATAGAGCTATGGTGCGATAGCGCGATGACGATGATGCGATGGTGCGATAGCGCGATGACGATGGTGCGATAGAACGATAGAGTAAAAGTGAATATCGCTTCATCGTCATCGTACCATCGCGCCATCGTTATCGCACCATCGCGTCATAGCACCATCGCTTCATCGTGCTATCGCACTATCGTCATCGCATTATCGTGTCATCGCTTCATCGTCATCGCACTATCGCACCATCACTTCATCGTTATCGCACCATCGCTTCATCGTCATCGCATTATCGTGTCATCGCATTATCAACCCAAACCTCGATGGTGCGATGATGCGATAGTGAACTGCATGGCCCTATCCGGATTCCATAGACGAGAGCTCAAATGTCTAGAAAGCATCCACTGATGACCGGTAACCCGGGATATGCAAAAAGCTAACTATATTTTGTTAAAGTCCTTGTAAAATCTTTCATTTTTCAGTAGCGGACATGAGTTTAAAAACTGTTAAATAGTCTGCTTTTGACAAACGAATCAGGAGGAAGAAATTAAAAACTACATGCAAGTAAGGGTTGATAATTGCTACACAAATAAGCAAATATCTTATGTTATCCCGTTCAAACATTTCATTATTAGTTGACCATTCTCTTCAATTGTTGGTAAAACATTTTATTATGAAAGCGACGTGAGGGGTTACAAGTTGAAAGCCATAGCAAAAGTCATCTTCTTTTAATAAAGAATTTTTTTAATAAGTCTGCTTTATACCAATATAACAGCTGGTCTATGCAAAATACAGGCTCCACTGAAATTCCTAAGATTTTTTGAAGGCCAAAGAGCACACAGAGATATTGTCAATTAGAAACTACTACAATATTTTTAAAAAATAGTTCTTAGAATTTATATATATGTTGAATCAGAATGACTTTTTGATCGACTGCAGTTGTATGGGTGCCAAAATTAAAAAAAAATTCAGCAGACATATATCCCACTTTCCTGCAGTAACGTATTTAAACAAAATACCATTTCCTATTTCTAAAGCAAATCACGCTTATTCCATTTTCCCACAATCGAGCATTTTACACGCACTTTCATAAGTACAATTTAATCTTAATTCAATGCAATTCCCATTTATTTATAAAAGTTAAAATTTCTTGAAATGAGAAAAGTTATAACCTTTTAAAATATTACGTCATAATTTTTAACGCTTAAATTTAGAGAAACTTGTACTGCGATAAAATGTGCTTGCTGAGAATACGTAACATCATATTTCAATGACGTGAACATTAAGTTTGTGTTGCTTCACAGTTCAGTAAGTTATTAAGAGATATACATGAAATATATGGAGATAACGAACAGTATTCAAGCTCAAAAGTCTATAAAACAATACAAAACAGGAGCAACGCAAACATGGACCTCCAAAACATCAGAGGTGGGAACAGGTGCCATGGAGGAGTGAGCATCCTCTGCTGACCGTTTACCCATTCTCTGTGCTCGTCATGATCGGTAAATAACGGGAAATTCCGTCTTCAATTCAATGTGTAAATAATGGCCGAACAATAAGTATGAAAAATATCAGTAAGTACTTGACTCAATGATTAACTGTATTTGCTGACAAGGTCATTGTATCGACCACAGAACTTACGAAACGAAGATTTTAAACGAGATTGCTGATATTATTGTTTTATCAACTTGTTTGTCAATAATTTACTTCGTATAAGTAAATGTAAATACGTAGAGCAAAAGAGCATGCTCTTAAGTATCGAATGAACTGAGAGATAAAAACCCCGTATGCTAGTACTGAAGGTATACTGTGGCATAAGAAAGAGAAGTGGACGATTGAAAAGTTAAAGTCATTATGTATATCAATGAGCTTGGTTGTTAGATTTCCATTAACGTCTTTTTCAAGTAAATTAACCAAATATGAAACAGACGTGTCAGCTTCTATGGTATCTTTTATCACGAACTCAACGGCCTGTGTCGTATCGACGTAAGAATCGAAGTAACCATCGTTAATTCTAGCCATTATGGGTGTCATGGGCTTGCTTGCTGAACAGTTTTACTTAGACTCCATCATAATTAAGAAAACAATGATATAAGTATTTTATAATAAATAGCATTACAATAAACTATTATCTACTTTATTGCTTATAGGTTGTTTTCAATTTTAAAATAAAAGCTATCATTTCATAGAGTTGTTTTTGGCTGACTTGTGACAAACGAATTGTTAGGCCTTTGTTTTTTAGTAAAACAGACTATGGAACGCTTCGTCTACAAGATTTGTACATAGAGCTAATGACTGGTTTGACCGATCAACAGGGGATGCTCACTTCTCCTAGGAATTCGATCCAACCATTGTTACCGCGGTCCGTGTTTTAGTTCTCGTCTCAGTTTTGTAATATTTATGAATTATTTAAAGTCTACGTTAGTTTTTATCTTCACTATTTTCATTTACTAGCTCTTTCTGTGCTTTTATACTTTTTTTCCTTAAGCTTTAAACGTTTTTAAAACACTAAAAATGTACACTGTACCTTATTTAGAAACAATACAAGGACAAAACGAGCGCCACCTGCTTCACTTTCTCTTCATGGAGAACCAGTACGATCCTCTGGAAAGACCAGTCGCCAATGAGACAAAGCCAATCATTGTAAAGTTTGGAATTACACTGCAACAAATAATAGACATTGTAAGTTGTTTTCTGTTTGTACAAATTATGAATCATTTTTCATATAACATAGGAAAGAATACTCCGTTAATTGATGGTTGAGCTTTCAAGACAAATCACAGAAATCACAAGGTCATGATTAGTTGTAGAATGGAGTAATTTTATTAACGTACAAAATACATCGTTATTGATAGAAAATAGAAACTGATAATAGCTTTGTAATTATCAGAAGAAAAAAATATGAAGATACCAAACAGAATTAATATCAAAAATCTATTCTAACGAAACACACAAGGAGTAAAGAACTCTAAAACATAAGAGATGGGATCAGGTGCCATGGAGGGGTAAGCGTCAGATCACACAAAGTCAAATTAGTTGTACACAATATCATCATAGAAGGAAGGATTTGCTTATTAGTTGATAGTAAAGATTAACTTTGATAATTTTAAATTCGTCCGACTTATATAGCCAAGTACGATTAAATAATCATTATAAAACGTAACATTATGATAATTTGACAGAGCCAAAATGATGAATATAAAAATAACAAGACTGTATGTAATAACCCCATTTCCAGTGTTTAAGTCGTGTTTGATTAGACCGTCATTACAAAGCAGAATTTTATTCCCAGCACCTATAATACTTACAATTTCTATTTTTATAAGATCTAATTAACTGACACAACTGAACAGCACACAGTTTTAAGCTTTTTTCCCTTTTATACATATTATTACACACGACTATATATAGGCAAAATAAAATACATAGCCTTCTCTAATTGGTTTCTGATCTGAAAATCCTGCATCTGGAATTTCTCTTAACAATGATTTATTTTGTTTTGCCTTTCCCTAACGGAATCGATATAAATAAATAAGTTTTCAGGGAAGAAAGTAGTCTTTTAAATCATTTTGGACGAGAACGATTTGTATTTATAAACCTAGCGAGAAAAAAAACAGTAGTTTTTAATCAAAGCGTCTTCAAAGGGAACAAATTAAGTTTAGGTTTAGGCTGAAAAATAGGGAAAATAGAGAAAGTGTTTTGTATTTTTCGATAGATAAATATTCTCGATATACAAGTGTATTTTTCTTCCTTAGCCAAAGTTATGCTTTATTTTAAATTGTGAAAATTAAACTTATTTTTCAAAAGGAAAATAAGAGTATATTGTTTTTAACACTTGCGTCAAAGATTGTTCAAACCAGACAATGTAAACGATGTGGTGAGCTGTACGGCTATATCAGTTACAAAGAAATACCAAAGAATGATTAGAATGGAAACATACCACAGAATACAACAAAAAGCTCAGCAATGAGATCTCAACTTATTGTTCTATTGAGATTTTAGGTCTTCCAGTAATGAATATTTATGGAATATTTACTTACCAAAACATCAAAAACGATGTGGTGAGCTGTACGGCTATATCAGTTACAAAGAAATACCAAAGAATGATTAGAATGGAAACATACCACAGAATACAACAAAAAGCTCAGCAATGAGATCTCAACTTATTGTTCTATTGAGATTTTAGGTCTTCCAGTAATGAATATTTATGGAATATTTACTTACCAAAACATCAAAATCCATTCGTAGGCGTAGAGGGCAAATATATTTTCTTCTTTAGAAAGTGCTTAAATAGAATTGACCAATATTTCTATCTCACTCAAGCCTGTGGTTCTAAGTGTTCTTTTCTGGTCTGGGGTTGACTTTTGTCCGTCTGTTCCTCTGCCACTGAGCAAAATTTCTGACAATTTGATACACTCTTATACCCTATATGCGATTTTTTTTATCAGATTTTATTGAATGTACAAAGAAAAAAACATCATTGTCATCAGATCAGGCCTGGGGGCCATAAAACTGAGACAAGCTCACTTTTGATCTCAGTCTCACATTTCCGCTATATATTCCTTTGGTAAAAGTGAGACTGAGATTAAAAGTGAGCTCGTCTAAGTTTTATAGCCCCCAGACCTGATCCTAAATAGAAGACACTAGTTTATCATATAACACACAAAAGGGATAGAATTTGCAAAAAATATAATTTTATTGTTAAAATTAATAATATTTAAAAATACAACAACATGCATTCATTTTTAACACGACCTGGTTACATAATGGCGACTAAATGTCTTATAACGATGGTCAAAACTTGTTGTTCAAACTACTAAACATTGAATAAATAGAAATTCTACAGTGGATGTATATTTAATCCTGGAGACAAATATTCATTGATTGTGTGAAATATGTATCTTGTCTCCTCGCGTAAATTGAAATATTGAATCCTACTCACTCTTGTATGAGTGAACACATTCATCAAAGAATATTAACGGATATCCTTTCAGCATAAGAAATCTAGTGATAAATATAAGTTTCAGAGGGGATGAAGGAATGCTTTATTTGAAGAAATATTACTTGTTTAAATTATCTCAATTTCTATACAATATCCCAAGTTCTTGATCGAAATGCATCACGTGATATTATCCATAGACAAATCTTTTACACGGAAATCCTGACAATTAATCAGGGACAAGTGAGGAGAACGGAATTCCCTGACAGTGGCCAGATAATGGAGTCAATTATGTAAATGTGATCTGTCAGAAGTTTTGTTCCGTACTTTTCCTCCGGTAGTTGACACTTTCTTAAATTCAGAAAACATGACGTGTAACTAAGTGATAGATTAAGGGACCTTACATCAGAGCAGTAATTCATCCTTAAACAAAACCACAAATACAGAAAATTCTCTTTGGATATATGTATATCCATTATACAAATGTCTACATCAAAATAAGAAGACTATTGCTCCAAACATATCTTATACATAATTTTCTCTAAATATTAAGCAAACATTTTTAAAAACAATCCTGCTTTTTGTAAGTTTCGACTAATACTGCATATTTCCTGAAAAGGAATCTTATGAAAAAAAATATGTATATTAACATTCGGCGCATTTATCTTTTATTCCTCGTAACTTTACTTTAAGGTCAAGATCTAGTAAATAACTTGAGACTAATTTTTAGTGCTAGATCCATTATGACGTCATAATCAATTTCAACTTTCTTTTTCCCGTACTTTACGGCTTTAGCAGAATTATGTAGAAAATAGGTTATTTTCATGACATTCAATTTGAAATCACATGAAAAGTAAACCGGATACCTATATTAAATTTTATATTGATTTAAAGAAGAGGCCATGAACATACTAATTACCGTTTTCTGAGAGACTGTAGGCAATCTGGATACATTTCCTTTGTTGAATATGAAAAAAAGTCCCAAATTCATGGCTGATTTTCTTAATTGTTCATTGAAAATGACAGTTTAAAATACAGTTTTTCATCTTGTTTACCTATAAATTATGCCCCGAAACACCTTATTTGACCAAGCTAAAGTTGTAAAGCATCAATAAAGGAATTTATTTCTCAGGTTTGATAAATCTGTAGGCACCTTTCATTTACTAGATCTTGACCTTAACACTTTACAACGTACTGAATTGTGACGCAATATACACTTAACGCCGACGTCATAGAAATACGACGTTACCGTTCCCTGCAAGCACTTTATAGCACCGCACAAGTTTCTCTAAAGTTTAGCGTAAATAATTATGACGTAATATTTTAATAAGATTATTACTTTTCTTATTTTATGAGATTTTAGCAGGTATAAAACAGAAGTGAATTAACATAAATTAAATTGAAGATTAAATTTACTTTTCAAATTGCGCGTGAAAATGTGAAAATGCGTAATTGCATTGAAAAGGTATATGCGTGATTTTGCTTTAGAAATAGGAAACGGTGTATGCGTTAAAATGCGTGTCTGCGGGGAAGGGGGTTTATGTTAATGAATCTTAAGAAAAAAATGATAGTCATAATTGAAATGTAATATCCTCAGCATGCGTTGCAATGTAAAAAAAATTGTATCTTAACTCGATAATTTTTCGATAAATGGATAGTCATGTATTTTAGTGAGATTTATCTCTCTTATTCGACTTTTCAATTTTAAAAAAGCTTACTGTATATTTTGAAACAAATTTTAAAAAAATCAAAATAAACAATTCCCTGTTATACAAAGAAATGTTGGTTCTGTTTTTTGTAATATAATTTTTTTTATTATTATTTTAAAATTTTATTGTAGGATGAAAAGAATCAGATTCTGTACTCCAACATTTGGTTACAAATGGTGAGTTTTAACAACGAACTTACAATGAAACTCCATATGAGATATATGTAGATAACGAACAGTATTAAAACCTAAAAGTCCATTAAACTATATAAGTTTTGGAGCAGATAAAACACGGGTCTCTAAAAGATCAGAGGTGGGAGCAGGTGCCATCGAAGATTTAGAATATAATAATGGGGAAAAAATACACATCAAATATATAGATGTGTACTTTAACATCAGGGTTATATTGTTTTGAATTCTTTATTTCTTGAAAATGTTTATAAAAGGAAGAATTTCAAAGTATTGAAATATCTACTCAGCAGTTAATTTGATTAGAAAAATTATCGGAAATAAGAACTTAATATTTTTTATGTCTCTATTATGTAGTCTTACTTCACATTGAATTTTTTTCTGTCCAAGAAATGGCATGATGTTAACTTGGTCTGGGAGCCGCGGGAATTTGGTGGAATACAGGAACTCAGAATTCCGGCCAAAAAAGTATGGAAGCCAGATGTGCTGCTTTATAACAGGTGTTTATAGGATGTTCTGGCAAAATATCTGAAATTCTTACAGAAACTGTAATTTTCAAATTGTTGGTCTTGGTATGCCTTTAGCACTATCATCAATAAATATTGCTACGTAATAGTTAATTCATAACTGCATCTAATACATAACTTTGCCAATTGTTATACACACTTGGAATTACAATATTTAGAACTACATTAAATTATTGGTACTTGTAGCGCGGACGATGATTTTGACGGAACTTACCACTCAAACATCATAGTAAATAACAGAGGGGAAGTCAAATGGATTCCTCCAGGAATGTTCAAGAGCACCTGTCAGATCGACATCGCTTGGTTTCCATTTGATGAGCAGAAATGCGACCTCAAATTTGGTTCCTGGACATATGATGGCCGTTTTCTCGACCTCATTTTTGACGGATCTTCAAATGGCGATGCTTCTGACTTCATAAGGAATGGAGAGTGGGATCTATTAGGTTGTATTTTTGCTGTCAGTGTTTGTCTTCTAATCCATTGCAATTTTTTTATGGCGTTATCGTTACATTTTAATGACGCTTAAAGGAAGGAATCTTGATTTGGAATGGTAAAGATGAAAATAATGAACTTAATATAACCTTGATATATTTTAGAAAGTGTATCGGGATGAGAGATCTTTTTCTCTTTATGAATGTAACACGTGCACCACGCTAAAAGACCTGTTTTAGATATTTTATCCAGTAATCCAGAAGGGATAAAAGAATTATATATTTCATGATCAGTAGGTACTGTTCTGTGTTAGCAAAGCACGTGACAACGATGTGGCCTTCAACTCGACATTTGGATATGTCGACGACGTATTGCCAATTAACATATTAACGATATATCCTGGTGAGCTTGAGATAAAGGATACCACAGAGTCTGACACACGTGTTTCACATTTGGGTATTCTACTTGAAAAAGATGATAATGGTAATCTAATAACCAAGCTCTATGATAATCGTCATGACTTTAACTTTTCTATCGTCAACTTCCTTTACTTTATATGCAACAATGTACCTTCATCACCTGCATACAGAGTTTATGCATATCAGTTGATTCGATACGCAGGCATGTTCTATGTATGAACAATTTCTAAAACGAGGTAAATTATTGACAAACAAGTAGTTGAAACAAGAATATCAGCATTCTCGTTTAAAGTAATAATTTCGGAAGTTCTTTGGTCAATACAATGATCTTGTCAGCAAATACAATTTGGGGGGGGGGGGGGGGGGGGGCTAAGTGTAAGAAATATTTTAGACCTTCAAAAATACCTGACAAGCAAAAAAAGGGAATATGTCTACTGTCCAAACACCAAAATCCTATTTCAAACTTCTTTCATTACCTTTTTTTTCCAAACACCACCACTTTCCCTATTTTTTTTTTTTACCCATACATGTACTAGTATACTACAACGTGTCCATGGAAAAGGGGGGGGGGGGGCTAAACCCACACCGCAATGTTTAAAGCCTATTCTAAGTCTACGTTTGGAAAAAGGGTTAGGAATCTATTCTACGTTACCCTGCGTCCGGATTACATTGTGTCTATGTTTGGAAAAAGGGTTAGGAATCTATTCTACGTTACCCTGCGTCCGGATTACATTGTGAATATAACCATTACGTGTTACAAGTGTACCTTTGTGAGGAATCTGTTATAAATTACAACATATGTGTCCGAACTCTATTTCAAATTTAACCTTTACCCGTTACAGGTGTTCCGGGGGTGAGGAACCAGAAGTCATACGAGTGTTGTCCTGAGATTTATATCGATATTACCTACACGATCCATGTTCAGCGCCGGACGCTGTATTATGGCTTTAATATCATCATACCCTGTGTCCTCATCTCCTCCATGTCTCTCCTCCTGTTTATGTTACCACCCGACTCCGGCGAAAAAATATCTCTAGGTGAGGATCAGTACCACATAAATTGTGACGTCACAGGAAATACGAAAATACGGCTTATCTGTTGTCAGATTTATTCAGTTTTATTAGAGTAAAATTTTGCACTCGAAATTTCGTTGTTCATAGACTAGAAAGCTGTCAGGTTTATTAGTATCTTGTTTATCTTGCAATTCTTGATTGCATACCTGAACAATGTTTTTAATGCTTTGTAAATTGTTTGATCGAAAAGATATTCTACTTACTTAATGTCGATCTATGATTTCAAGGTAAACAAAGAATTAAATGTGGTGAGTCGCTTTCTTAGAACTGTAGTAGCACTGGACCAAATTAAAAAAATAAATAATAGCAAAATAAATCAATATCAAAACTTCTGGTTCTTTCTGAAATATTTTTGGTTCAGGATGTAGAATCTCTCTCTTTTACTCTTCTATGTGTGCTAGCTAAGCTATTTAAAGCTATTGATTTTTATGAAGCATGTGCTTTCATCAGCTTCTGAGCAGATCACATTTTGCATATTTCTGATCAAGCTAATCTTCTCTATACATCATCAATTCTTCACAGAAGCATGGCTTGGGGTTACTCACGGAATATTTCCCAAATGAAGCGACCAAGGCTCCCTTTCTTCTGAAGTTTGATATCTGTTTATATTTTCTGGCTTGTAATTTAATTTTCTAAGTCGAGTTTTTATCCAAAACTCAATTAAATGGCCAAGAAATAGATCTGCCAAATTCAAAAGTTACTCAAGAGAAATTTATCAAATTAGAACACATATTTCAAACCGTATAATTAACAGACAGTTCATTGCTCTTCGAATTGCACATGATGTATCTATTCGAAGGTGCAGTTATACAGATCACTGATAAAGAAACGCATATATAACAATCCAAGGACCAAAAAATTATTTCTGAAATTAAATAAAAATATACAAAAAGTTATTTGCACTTTCGAAAATCAACTTTTATATCAGGTATTGCATGAAAATGCATGTATTTACGGTTGTTAAAAAATACAGGAAGGCATTCTCTTTTGCATAATTTATAAACTAATTTATCAAGAAGTGAGACAACTTTTCTCATATTTATTAGCCATTTTAAATTCTCCACATTTTTATTAATATTCATTTATAAATTGCTTCAAAGATAATTGATTTCTTTACATAAAAAAGGACACAAGTTTCGATTATCTGTGATGCATAATTCAAAATATAACGAGTTTTATTAAACTTATTGATTTCACCAAATGGAATAAACATGTCGGCAAAAAGACTTGACCAGTGTTACTTTGAAATGTATATTCTTGAACACTAATTACATTAATTAATTACAGGAGTGACGATTCTGTTGTCTCTTATGGTATTCCTGTTACTGGTAGCAGAGACGATGCCACCCACTTCTGACGCTGTTCCTTTGATTGGTAGGTAATGTCACGTGAGCATGCACATCGCAAACCACGTGATTTATGTATTTTGGCTTTACATTGCACCCAGTGTTTCAGAAGTTCATGTCGTAATTAATTAGTGCTGTAGTTTATGATCAGTGCCAGTTCGATCCTCGTTAACATTATTTTTTTCTTATTTACAATGTGGAGGGGTTAATTTATTTTTAATTTAATATAATCATCATCTAAAGGCTTGAAGAAATTGTACTAACGATATCTTACAGGCATTTACCTAAGTCTTGTACTTATTATCTTACGGTAAAATTTTACCTGAGTCTTGTGTTTTTATCTTACAGGTATTTATTTTACCTGTTTCGTGTAATTGTATCTTACAGGTATTAATTTTACATGAATCGTGTGATTTTATCATACAGGTATATACTTCTGCTGTATCATGATCATGTGTTCCATGTCCATGATGTTCACAGTTATCGTTCTTAATTTTCATTATCGGGGACCAGAAACTCACAGTATCCCTTCTTGGGTAAGAAGTATGCATTTTTATTTTGGAAAAGCATTAAGGCTTATTAGTAGCTATATATTCTGTATGGGAAAACAGATGTGTAATTATTCAAAAACTTGGGGGAAAATACTGTTGTACTTCAGCTTGACGCTTAAATTTATACTTTCATGTGTCGACTCCAAATATTCCAAATGAAGTAGTAATAAAAGACATTAGAATGCTTTTGACATGTGATACATATGTTGATGTTAAACTGACGATAAACGTTAATAACAGAACTAAACTACATGTAATGACAAATAGATGATTTCAACTTTTCTATCGTGATCTTCCACAATTTATGGAGTAATATTAAACCATCACTTGCATATGGTATATATATGTCTAACAACCTGAATGGGTAATTTTCTACCCATTTTTGGTTAAAGTCAGAATTAAGCAAAATCTATGATTGTCATAATACAACCGAGCACTGAGTTGTATTTTGACTCCCATGTTTTAAAGTCCCCTTGTTATAATAATAAATTAATAAATAAATTATAGTTAACGTCATATTGGCAGTATTTCAGCCAGTATGTTATCTCTACCTTTCACTTTTATCTTGAAAATAAATTTGTAAACTTTGTGTTTGTGTCAAATTTCTTGATTTTAAAAGAATACTGGTCTTCAAAGTCTTTTAAAACTTAGGTAAACGAATGGATCAACGGACGACTTGCCTGGCTACTATTCATGAAACGTCCAGGACAGCAAAAACACAAACACACCAACGATACGATAGAGAGGACGCGTCTCCATGACATCGTGGTCCAAGAACGACAATCCAGGTGTCTGCTATCGGGACTAGAATTTGAAGATGAAATCCGAATGGAAAACGGAGCTGTCCCCAAACCCGGAGATTCACCATTCCTAAGCACAAAATCAGACCTTTTATCGATTTTAAGAGAACTGAGAAAAATTACAACGAGGTGTAAGAGAGAGGAGGAAGAGGTGATAGTGCGGGGGGAATGGCGGTTCGCTGCCATGGTGATTGACCGCCTCTGTCTCTGGATTTGTGTGACCTTTACTGTTATATCTACTTTAGCTGTTCTGTTTTCCGCCCCGAATTTAGTGACAACGTAAAGATAGTCTACTACATTAAGGAGAACAATATGAAAATTTTTTAACACACTCATTTTTACTTTGTATTTTCACATTGTATTTGAAACTTCCATTGTGAATAAATGGTAATAAAAGCAAATGCTTACAGCATTTACACTGGACGGTTCCTTGCGGCAGATCTGTACTCTGGTTGAAAAAATTTAGACCGATAAACCAGAGAGCTACAGATCCAAGCATTGTAAAAATCTAAGATTTACGCCGCCGTTTTAATGTCTTCCCCTGCTTCAATTATGATTAACCTTAAGTAACAATTAACAGCGGGAAATGATTCAACTACATGAAAATATGAATATAGGAATTCAATCTTTGATTTCTCTGAATGACACAATTACAGAGTATTTTTTACTTTAATGTTGGTGTTCGCCAAGGTGAAAATATGTCTCCTTCTTTTTCCGTATAGATTAATGACCTTGAAGAGTTTCTCTCTGACAGAAATATTATTGCTTTGCAAAGCATAACTGACGCTATTGAAGAAGTGTTATATGTTTATCTCAAATTTTTTATTTTGTTATATGAATATGATACTGTTATTATGTCTGAAACAGCTGAAGATCTACAAAAAGCTTTGAATTGTTTTTATTTGTATTGCTCGCGTGGAAGCTTTATGTAACCAAGACAAAAATTTCCATTTAAGAGTAGCACGCCTGGGTCTGTGGAATATGGGGAGACTAGGCGATTCCCATTATATATGTTCTTGCAAGAATGATCTCTTTTGAATTCAAAAACTAGGGGCAACCTTTCCCTATGGATGCAATGACAATGCCGATAGTGTTGGAAATCTTTCCAGTCCACAGTTTCACAATGCAAATGTGATAGGACTTTTAACCATACACAGAGACGTAAGCGTAGTCATGGGCATCGGTCTTACAATAAACCTGTAATATACGATGTCGCTTTTGATTCATTACTGTCGTATGTAAATAAGAGTTAGGTTTACATTGTGCCTTTGATACTGTTAAAAGTCTTCTTGAAAAGGCCAAGGAAATTTTTATTCCTAGACACCAGAATATAGACTTGGATCTGTGATTGTGGAGATCATAGGCTTTTTAAACCCGCGCATTTTACTGAAGAAAATGCAGCTTAAACAATAAAACTTTTCCTTAAACTTCAATATACCAATAAAAGAGTTGACGCGGTTAATATAAGTAATATTCTTAATCACAAAAGGGCCCGTTCTTGTATTCCACCATATTTCAAGTTAAGACTACACCTTGTATTTCCTACAAATATACATCTACACTGTACCATTGCTTCTAAACTTTTCAATCTCAAAAAAACTCTACCTGACCTGGATAACGAGTATCTGAAACATAATCATAAAACCAAACCTAATCATAAAACCAAACATAATCCATCGTGTTCATGTTCTTTGCCCTATTACGGAAGCCCATTTAGGACCTATCAAAAATATTTTTGAATTCGTTATAACGATTTTTAGAATTCGTTATAACGAATTTAATTTGTTAAAACAAATTTTTAGAATTCGTTATAACGAATTTAATTTGTTTTAACAGCCTTTTAGAATTCGTTATAACGAATTTAATTTGTTATTACAGCCTTTTAAAATACGTTATAACGAATTAAATTTGTTATTACAGATTCATTGAATTCGTTATAACGAATTTAATTTGTTATTACAGATTTATTGAATTCGTTATAACGAATTTAATCATTCTGTTATTACAGATTTGTTGAATTCGTTATAACTAATTCAACGAATTTAGTTATAACGAATTCAACAAATCTGTAATAACAGATTAAATTCGTTATAATGAATTCAACAAATCTGTAATAACAGATTAAATTCGTAATAACGAATTCAATGAATCTGTTATAACAAATTAAATTCGTTATTACGAATTTAATAAATCTGTTAAAACAAATTAAATTCGTTATAACGAATTCAATAAATCTGTTATAACAAATTTAATTCGTTATAACGAATTCTAAAAAATCGTTATAACGAATTCAAAAATATTTTTTGATAGGTCCTAAATGGGCTTCCGTACCCTATAACTATAGTCCTTATGTACACGTTATTACAGGTGACGTAAATATAGTTAATAATGAGTACCTTAGATCACTTATTTAAAAAGGTCCTAAATATAGAGAACCCCGATCCTTCAACTGGCGTCGGAATTTCATAAATATTATGGAAGAGTACACCAGACGATGGGTCAAATATGAAAAAAGACGTTGACACCTTGTCAGAATGGATTAAATGTATCAGGTCCATCTTAAAATTGCGTATTAAAAGATTGAGAGGCAATATGAAAAACCATCTATCTTTCTGTATTCAAAAATCCAGAAGTAAAAAAAAAGAAATAAATAGATTACAAGATCTGTACGTACTGGTCCCTGCTGTCAAAGCAGGTAACAACATTCTCTTCGTTTGTAAGGCTCATTATATAAATTATTTTAGTAGAACTTGAATTTAATTTTATAAGTGGTAATCCACCTTATACTCATAGTTCCCTTTCTAAGGAAGAAATTCTTCAAAGTCATATGTCAGTTTTGAATATCCCGAAGAACCAAAATTTGTACTACCGTATACAGCTATATATATTGGATATATTGGATTCCGAAACTTCATAAGAATCATTGCAAACACAGATACATTGCGGGTTCCAGTAAATGTTTAACCAATCCTCTTTCTTTATTCCTCACTAAGATATTGACAGTAGTGAAGAAAAAACTTCTTGAGTACCGCGCAGCAATATATTCAAGAAGTGGTGTGAATCAGATATGGATACTCAAAAATTCCAAAGAACTCTTGGACAATTTGAAATCACAAGATTTTACCAAAATCAACAGCTTAAAAACTTACGACTTTTCAACTTCATGCACAACCATACCCAACGACAAATTAAAGTCCATGTTTTTAATTTCATTGACAGCTGCTTTTTCAAGGAAAATGGGACTCGTAAATTTAATTACACTGTCATTGGTCATTTGCAAAATAATTTTGTTAAAACAAATTCTGTTGCACACACAAGTACTTTAATTTATCGTGCAGTCTCGTATAAAGTCATCATTTAATAAGTTCTCGATACATTGACCTTGTCAGCAAATACAATTTATCATTGGGTCAAATCCTGACTGACGTTTTTCATACTAATTGTTAGTTCATTATTTACACACTGAATTGGCGACGGATTTTCCTGTTATTTCCCGATCATGCATTACAAGGAGCACATGGTAGGTGTGACTGGTTGGCAGGGAATACTCACACCTCCATGGCACCTGATTCCACCTCTGATGTTTTGATGGTCCGTGCTAGCTCTGCTCCTATTCCCTATTGTTTTATGGATTTTGATCTTGAATACTGTTTGTTATCTCCAAATGTTTCATTTGTATATTAAAATTTAGAAGAAATGGCACTGTCTGTCCTCAACATTTCCACATTATATTCTATACTTTGTACATATGTATATGCCTCTCATTTATGCTACTGTATCATATATTAATTATTTTTCACAGCTATGACGACTTACTTATTTACAGTACCTCATGTGTCACTGATGTTGGTGGGAGTGAAATAAATGAATTTAAACTTGATTACAATTTAACTTCTTCCATTCTTTAAACTTTATTTGCCTTTAAGATTTTGCAAAAGGTTGATATGTTTAAATTTTATTTTTACGATAGCTCCCAAACTATGCGAGGATTAAAGACAAAAGTTTTTACATTTTATAAATATATAACTTATTAACATATAGAAAGTATCAGCCGACAGCTTCTACTATAACTTGTAATGCTGACTTTCTGAAAGTTTTTGTTTTACCCTTTGGCTAGCCCAAGCCATGGGCTAGTCAGGTCATTCAATTAATTGAGGTCTTCAAAGCGTTTACAAAAAGACTCCTTAAAATTACATATATTTAAGATAAACCCTTTAATAGTCAGTTGATGGAGAATATAAGGGCACAGGTAATTTAAATTATAGAGAGGGTATTTATAGGCAGTTTGCCTGTTGTCCAATCTATTAAGTGTTCTGAATAAATATTGTTTAAAACACAGTTTAGGTGATTAGGTAAGTAGCCAATTGGCATCTACTGGTATACCCTTTTTTCTCGCCAATTCATGATCGGGTGCAAAAGGGCTTTGATTGTTTGTCTGTTGTTTAACGTCCCTCTCCAGAATTTTTCATTCATATGGAGACGCCACCAATCGATGGTGTAGCATTGCAAATTATATTCTTATACTCGAAACAGAAAGAGGGGAAAACATATCGAAAATTGAATTGTGCGTTTAGTTAAAAGATATGTACATCACAATATTTTTATCTTATCATTTTAAGCTCTACTATTCAGAACCCAGAAGAACTTTTACGATAGAAAGACATCCGTCTGTCAAGCTGTCCGTGCGTCTGTAATCAATTCTTGAAAGCACTCCTCGACCTATCATTGTGGTCTGATTTAGTATAAATTGACACACAAGATCCATATATTCTGTATATATGAATGATGCTGCAATGATTATCAAAAAATAAATTTCTGTATAAGTTTCTCCGCCACTTCACCTACATTTTGCCCTGAGTCAGTAGAATTTGGCACACAAGTAAACAACACAAAGAAACAATGGCTTTTAAATGTTACAAAGTTGTGCAAGCACCATCTTTGTAAGCTAGATCAATTAACAAAGGAAATGAATTTATATTGGAATACTAGTATTGTTTTAAATCAACGTTAAAAATATGGTTTAAAAAAGGATCACAATAGCAACAAAAATTTGTAAAGAAGATATTAATGATGATATAAAAGACACATATAACATGTTGTTAAGATGCGCAGCATATCATAAAAAGCAAGATTCCCTTTTTTGATTTACATTTATTACCTTTAAGAATCTTGATTATGGTTCATGTATTTTTGAATTTGTATTTATTTATTTATGGTATTTATCACAGAAACTACACAAGACCTAGTGTACAAGAACTATAGTGTAAGTAACTGATTATGAGATCATGCAGATTGAAATAAACTTATTTACAAAGTCCTGTACATACATACTAACTTCCACTTATCATATGTAAAGATATACATATACCTGCCCCCCTGTGTTTTTTTTTTTTT